CAACAATAATTTGTTCTCTGAACGTGGCCCATTGGTTCTGGAAGTTTATTTTTTGTTAGTACCAGTTCTAAATACAAACGAAACATGTTTTGTAAAAAAACAAGACCCTTAAATTTGTCAAATCTGTGACATGACAACCACCCTGCATTTATCGATGTCTAAGAATAGGTGACACTAGGCAAGTACCTCCTAAATCTACAAAATAGTGCAACACTGACTTATACGGTGATTATCAAATGAATACTTACATGGTGATTATGAACTTGCGGTATATTTTTGTTGTTTGGTTGTGCTGAGAAGACGCCTTTACTTTTGAAACGACGGAAGCTACAGATTTTCCAAAGAAATATACAAATTAAGTGGCTTTGAAGTTGCGAGTTGGGTATGAGCAGCTTTCAGTTTCTAGTCAATGTCTAACGTATAATTCGGTGTTTAAATTTTCCAACGTAACGTAGCTGGTGGAAATTAGGGTTTTGACAGAGGTGAAGGAAACAGAGAAAGACAAAGTATGTAGACTAGAAAAGAAAAATAGATTATACTTTTAAAATTTTTGGAAATCATAATTTAGTATTTGTAATATATAAGATAAATTTAATTTAAATATTAAAATGGTAAATATATTAGACATTATGATTTGTTTGAAAGCATGGAAATAAAATTGGAGGGTGAGCAAATTTTTAAATTTGATACAACAAAGTACAAGATTTTTTTTTTTTGTAAATATCAACTTTTTTTTCTCCATTTTATTTCCACCTCTTTCTTTTATAAAAACCAAAGATCGTTATCCTATATTTTTTTCTCCCCACAAATATATTTTTATGTGTTGGTTGGTTTAATAGTAAGAAAAGAAAATAAAGAAAAAAAGTGAAATAAAAAAAAGAAAAATGTTCATTTAAAAAATAATAAAGAAAATAAAATAAAATAAAGTGTTTATATAATTATAAAATTACTTATATAATTATTAATAAATTTTTTTATGAATAAAATAAATTTTAAAATTAATACTTTCAAATTAAGTTATTTTTTAATTGCATATACTTTGATACATATATTTATAAAATATTTTGTATTATCAAATTATTTTCTAAAAACATTTAAGTTTAAACTAATAAAATAATATCATATTAAAAAATTTAAAATATATTAAATTATTCATTAAGTTTTTATAATAACTTTTTATTTTTTATATATTGGAATTATATATGAAAAAGAATAATATTTTTTTAGAGAGAAGATAATATTATAATATAATGATTTTTTACATTTTTCATTATTTTTTTCTAATATATACATAAGTGAAAAGGAAAACATCTGAAAAAGAATGAAAATGAAATTTTTGTTTGTTAATTTTTCTTATTATCATTAAGAATTACTTATTTTTTCTACATAGTCATTTTCCATTCAAAACCAATGTACCATAAAAACATTAAGTACACATAAAATAATAATAATTTTTTTTATGGTTGAGAAATAAATTTTAGAATTATAGTTAAATCAAATTGAATTAAATTTATAATTTTAGAAATATATTATAAAAATTAAAAGTAAAACTAATATATTCAATTTAGAAAATTTGATAGATAAATGAAATAATTATTCTCATAAGTAACGCTTTAAAATACTATTGTTAACGAAATATTCTTACGAAAATATATATTATATCAAAGATGAAGATTCAATTTTATAATATAAGAGTAGAGGGGTGACATATATTTTTAATTGTTTTACGTGTGATTAAGTTTTTTTTATCGGTATTATTTTATAAAATGTTAAAAATATTTGTATAAATGTTTATGTAATACTTGTGACGTGAATAATTACATTAATTTATACCAGACATATTTAAATACATATTAACATCACTATTAAGTAATAATAAGAATTAATTATAAGTTAAAATTAATGAAGATAAAACAATAAAAATTAGAAAAATAAAACTAAATTTAGCAATATTTAAAAAGATTAAGAATATATTTAGGTCATTAAATAATATTTTTGGATTTTTTTATTGATATTTAAATATTCACTTAATTTATATTTTCCTCTATTTATATTTTAAAAAATGCATTTTTGTTCCGTAAAAAGATGAATATAGGTTTGTTTTATTTTTAAATAAATAAACAAATAAATAAATAAATGTCTTAATAGTAGTAAAATAATTATGATTTTTTTTCAATTACATTTTTGCCTGGTTCAACAAATTGTAGTGTTATCAACAGTTAGTAACCACACTAATTTAAATAAAAATGTTTTATTATTATCAGTTTCTAAATTTTTTTATCATCTTTTAAGGTTAAAAAACTGATAATAAAAGTGATGAGTAATTTTTTTTTGGTATAAAAGTGATAAAAATGGATGAATAACACCTATAATATAATTAAAAAATTAAAATGAAATATTCAAAACTAGTTACTCATCATATCATATCATATTATATTTTATATATATATATATATATATATATATATATATATATATATATTATTAAAAGAATTAGTTTAAGTATTATTATATTTATTAGTACACACGTCTTGTCGTTACATTATCTTATTTATCTATACTAATATTCTTTTCCTTTTATTTTATCTGTCATAGTTTAAAGTTTAAGATGATGTTAGTTATATTTTATCAATTATATCTTTGTATTAATAATTAATATATAATTTAAATTAGTAAGCAAGAAGAATATAATAGAAAATTAATATATATATATATATATATATATTAATAAAATAAAAATATTTATTATACTCCTTGATATATGTAAAGAGGATAAAAGAATATACAGAAAATACAAATATTTTGATGCACACGTTTTTGTTTTGCTTTTTTTTTTCAATTTTATTTTCATTTTCATTATTTTAATAGCAGCTATGTTATTTATTATTTTATTTTTAATAATTATAAAAAAAAAGGATACACAAACGTGAGTGATAATATATTATGGGTTTTAAAAAATGGATACATAAAAATGTCTAAAATTATTTTATACTTTAGATATCTTTTCCTATATGGGTTTTAAATTATTATTATTATTATTATTATTACGTTTTACCACATCCATAAATATAATTATGTTTAATGATTTCTATAGATTAGAGAGTGCAAAGAGTGGAAGTAAAAAAATTGATTATTTTGAAAGAATAAAATATATAATAACTAAAAATATAATAAATAATCAAAACGTTTTTTTTTAATTTAAGTAAATAAGAATTAATATAAATGAATATTTTTTTAAAAATAATTTGAAAAATATTTAAAAATAATTAAAGAAATCTAAGAGATAACACTATTTTGGAACTCAAGTTTCTTTCCATGTATTTATAAATAATCAACCAACCCAAATTCTCCCTCATTTTCCATGAAATTGATCACTCTTATGCTTAAATAATAGAACAATGGATGCAAACATAGACTATATAGTCTAAAAGATAAGAATGTAATTTACTAAAATATTTTTAATACACATCTTAATTTACTAAAAGAAAGAATATACACATCATTAATTTAATTATCTAAAATATATCTTAATATTAATTGAACCTTTAAAAAAAATTGATGATAATATGAAAAATATCATTAATTATTTATTAATCCATCAACAATCTAAAATATCATCATTTTAGTTTGTAGCCTAAAGATTTTATTCACAGTCTCCATGTTTATTTGTCGAACTAAGAAGAATTTTAAAAAATCGTTATTAATTGTTAAAATTAACATGATATGATGTAATCATTTAAAAAAAAAAAACACCATTTATCTTAATTTCATCATATCTATCTTTACTCCTTCTTTCACCAGCAAAAAACTTATGAAGTTTTTCATATATTTGAATATCAATCATTAAATAATAAACAAATAAGCATTTAACTAAAATGTCCCACTACTACAAAATATACTTTCTACGTCGTTATAGTTGAGACATAGAAAGTACTTTGAGAACCGACGTGGAAAGTTTTTTTTTACCCAAAAATTCACTTAAATTTAAAAATTGTCATTGACAAGATTTGAACTCGGGATTTTAGAATAGAAAACTAATACTCTAACCACTAAACTATTATAATTTTCCGATAATAACTTACAAATAAATTATATTTATATACAAATAAATATATATCCATGTAAATATATATTTGTATATATTTTCTGGAAAGTATTTTTATTTTTATTTTCAGCCAAAAATTCACTTAAGTTAATGAATTGTCATCGACAACATTTGAACCCAATATTTTAGAGTTGAATGTTAATATTTCAACCACTAAACTACTATAATTTTTTTATAATAACTTATAAATAAATTATATTGGTATTTTTAGATCGAGGGTGAAAGTGAGATTGACTCTCATTTGAGTGAAAATATATTAAAGTTCACGGAAATTCACTCAGTCAAGCCTCGCTTGAGCAAAAATTGGTATTTTTCGCTTAAGAGCGAATGACGCGTTTCCAAATTTATTTTATATCATTATATAAATAAAATTATAAAGATTATATTCTGTCATTAAATTACAAACTCATATAAAGATATTTGATCACAAATTTAACATCAAATTTTGAAAACCCACTCGACACACACTTTCACTTTCGAGTGTGCCCTCACATCCAACATATAAATATATAAATATATAACTATATAAATATATCAAAATATATAAATATATTTGTATTTATATATTTATATATTTATTTGTATATAAATATAATTTATTTGTAAGTTATTATAAAATTATAATAGTTTAGTAGTTGGAAAGTTACTGAGTTTGAACGAAAATTCTTTTAAAAAATAAAAATGATTAAACTGACGTTGAAAGAAATAAAAATGATTAAACTGACGTTGAAATCTTATTTGTAGTAGTAGTGTCCCCACTTATATATTATTCAAGATGCTGGTTTTCATACTCGATGATCCATTTTAACAAAACACATCCTCATTTCGCTTTTACTTCTTCTGATCAAGTTCTAGGTTGGATAACTCAGTTCTTTTATATGATATATGATTGCAGGATAACACTGGCCATGGGACTGTTCTATTATGGTCTGCGAGACACATCAGCTACTTACTCTGTCAATTTTCTCAGCTTGGTTCCCATCTCCACGTTCATTTTCTCTGTTATATTCAGGTATATAGAAAGAACAGCCATTATACAAACATAAACTAACCATATATATACCTCTATTTATTTCTATTCATAAACTGATAAGATATCAGAAGTTTATATAAATTCACACATTCTGAGTCATATATTGCAGAATGGAGAGAGTCGGGTTTGAAAGATGGACGTGTAAAGTGAAGACAGTAGGGGCAATGTTGTGTGTTGGGGGAGCATTAACAACTAGTCTATACAAAGGGAAGGAGTTCTATGTTGGTCTAAGTAGGCATCACATTCACAGTGCAACACTTGTGTCATCCAAAACCAACATGCTTCGTGGCACTATCTTTTTGGTTGCTAGCTGCTTCTCATACACAGCTTGGTTCATAGTGCAAGTATGTCTCATTCATTCCTCTTAACTTTTCATTTTGCTAAATATTATACATGAAAACATATTTAACTCTTATAGCATTTAGCTAGATCATGTACTGATCAAATTAACAGGTTAAGCTGCATGAAATATTTCCATTCAAATACTGGGGAACAATGCTTACGTGCGTTATAGCATCAATTCAAGCAGCCATAGTAGGAATATTCTTAGATTGTAGAAATGTTACGTGGAGTTTAAGGTGGAATCTACAACTTATCACAATAATATACTCGGTAAGATTTATTCAATGTAAGTACCTTCAAATTGCTGCTCCTTTATACACCAATTCACCAGAAAGTTGCTAAAACCCTTCACTTTGACTTGAATTTGCTACTAGTTTTAAGTTATTTTTGTCACTAACAGCTAATTTATTACTTCTTTTAATATATGAGGTTAATTTATAAGGTCTGTCAGCTGAAACATGTGTAAATTTAAAAAATTTCCTTAAACTTGTGGTGTTTTATAACAGGAAAGATCCATGCAGTTAACTGATAGATGGTGTGGAATAGCATGAGGCCATTTATAATTGGCTTTGATCGACTATTAGTTTTCAAAAGTATACGGAGGAACCTTAAGTTCTGACAAGGAAGTAAAGGGATGATGAAGATGTCAACTCTATGATTCTAAATTATTAATGAACAAGGCTTGTTTGTACAGGGAACATTGGCCACAGCTGCTACCTTTTGCTTAATTTATTGGGCAATTTCAATCAAAGGACCAACTTATCCCACAATGTTCAATCCATTGGCTCTTATTTTTGTGGCCATATCAGAAGCTATCTTCCTGGGTGAACCAATCAGTCTTGGCATGTATGAATGAATATTTATTTACAAATTCTCTGAATTATTATTTCTTTCATTGAACCACTTCCTCCACCCACTAGCAAAGGAAACATCTTTCAAACTACAACTTTTCTTGACAACCTTTTTGATAATCTACTGCTTTTATTTGGTCTTATGCATCTATGTAAATGGTTAATGAAAAATTGAAACTTATTTGCAGCATGGTTGGCATGATTTTGATCCTGATGGGATTGTACTCATTTTTGTGGGGCAAAGGAAAAGAGACAGAAAGTATGGTTGAAGCTTCTGGAGAGGTTTCAACAGGCATGGCAGCAGATTCTATAGGAGTTCATTCCACGGCCATAGTAGTACCAAGTATTTTACCCAGTAATGCACTTCTTGGAGTTGACAAGACTGATAGAAATTCAACAATATAAACAAAATATTCTTAAATGCAATAATATTTTTTATCTCAAGATTCTTGCCTTGAAATTTAGGTTCATATATAATTTCATGAAACAGTAGTAGTTCTCACTGAATAAATACAAAATATTCTTAGTCTATAAAAAGTGTAAAATTTTATGCATTTTTTTATATTTTGAGAAAAAATATTACATTGTTATTTAAAAAAAAAACAACTCTCTGTTCAGTATTCAGCGAAGTCAGGCATGATCTAGATTACGACCAGAAGACGAAGAATAAAGACCAAACAAGTTTCTAATATTATATTGATTATTCATTTATTTTATTTTAAAATAAAGGAATTAAAATTACGACAATAAAAAAATTGCATGCAAAATATCAGAACACTGCTAAATTTTAATTAAGAATTTAAAATTATTTAAAACACTCTAGTTAATTTTTATCCTTAAAATTATTATAATAGTTTTTTACATGATCAACGTGGAATCCACAATTATAGCCATTATTAATGGTTGGACATCGCCCATGGACAGTAGCAGACGCGGATTCGTTCATTCCAAACTTTGCTTCTTCTTTTTTCTGTTTTTTTCTTCTTTACTTTCAAAGAAAACAAAATTAATGGATTATGAAGGAGAGATAAAAATAATATATATATATATATATATAATTGATAATTTGTCTTTAAAAAAAAAGATTTTCGTGTTCATAATGATTTATAAGACATTCATTATTAATCATAGACACCCATAATATTAATAAAATAATTTTTTCATTTTTTTTTTCGTTTTCATTGTTTTATTTCTTTTGGACAAAACGTACAAGAAAAAGAATTTAGTACTAGGGTACATTCGATTGTGCCAATGCAGCATGGTCCCACCAATATTTTTTTTCTTTGTAACTCGCAACATTCGTAGTTTTTATTCTTTTCCTTAAAGTTTTTGACTCATAATTTTGAATTGTTCCAAATATAATGGGTTTGAACGAGCTTTCAAGCTTTGAAAGATGACTGTTTGGTTAATGGAGAAGTTCCATGTGGTGTCAATATAAGATGCAAAAGTCATTTACACAATTTCTACCAAAAGTTCAGGTAAAAGCATGTTACTTTTGAATGCGATGATAAAACACGAAATATATTTAGTAACACAAAATATCTGCCTGTTTTTTTAATATATTTTTTTTGAATTAAAATGATAGTCTCACGGACAAAATGTAGTATATAGTGAACTGATCTGTAATAAAATGTAAAATATATATATAATTTTTGAACGTATAAAGAAAGGAAAGCACATAGTTTGTATCCGAAAATTGTGTAATTGAAGAAGAGCGAAAAGAAAGAGAAGAGGGTGAAATCAGTTACGACAGGTCGAACGAATCGCATGATAAACGTGATACGGAAAGATACAGTAAGATTGGGTGGGTAAGATACGCTGTTTCCGTTGGGTTTCATTGGAAATTATAAAACCCCTATTTATGCGACAAACAAAACTCAACGTTTCCTAAAACCAAACCTTTTCTCAACTCGAACATCGATCACCATCCATCGTATCCGTTTCGTGATTCAGATACCAAACCACTCCAATTGCGGTTAGCATTTTCATCGTCTTCATCGGTAACATACAAGGTAAAACATACAAAGAATAATAATAATGATAATAATATTAATAATAATAACAAGACACACATCTTCAGGGGCAGGAGCAGCATTGGTGGGGTGGGTTTGGACGTAGAATGAGAGCGGACAGGTGGGCTAAGAGCATGGGAAGGATTTCAAGGTTTGGGAGAAGTGCTTCTTCCAATAAGGAAAACCAACAACAACAACCTTGTATTACCTGCACCACTTTTAACATTCTCGCTCCCATTTACAAGCGCATCGATGAGGTTCTTGTTTTTTAACATTCTCAATATTAACAATTATATTAATTAATCATCCTTTTAAAAGGGTAATCTCAAATTTTATTTTATTTTTTATTGTTTTATGGAAGCAGGATCCGAGTTTGCGGGAGAGCGATTACAGAGCGTTTTGGTTGTCGAGGAATCACAGGATATTGGAGTGGTTGTTGAATGAGATGTCTACCATTATTTGTCTTCAGGTTTGTGTCGTCGAAAAGGGAAATACATTGCAGGGAGATATATTATTATTCTGTAATGGGTCATAGGCTAATAATGATGTGGATTTTGCTTGCGCAGGAATTTTGGGTTGGAAATGAAGAACTTGTTAGTTTGTATGAGACGACCCTTGGCGACGCTGGTTATGTCAGTTTCAAGCTTGGAAGGACTAACAACCGTGGGGACGGTATGATAATACATGCACGTTGTTTCCCTCAATTCCTATAAACTCCCTTTGATTTATTAGTATTGCTTTTGTCGGAATTTCGTCGTCTTCTTTATTTGCAATTAAATGTTGTTTGCTGAATTTAAATGGGTAACATGTAAGGAAACAATTGAGGTAACAATCCAATATTGTTCTTCAAACTTCAATTAATACTCTTCCGTCTCATTTAAGGAAATATACATGCCATTATTCTTGAGAGTATTATTGAAAAAGATACATTGTTGATATTTTAAAGTGACATATTTATGCCATGGATATGAACAATGATAGACACAAAAACTTTCATTTTCATGCAAGAATTCAACTGAGAGAAGCCATTCCTCCCATTTGGGATCAGATACTAATTTGTTCGAGTTGGCAAACGGGAATTCCACCTGATGTTTTTATTGAGGAAAAACATGTTCTGTTTTTAATTTTCTTCTGGATGGAATTTTAATTTAGTTATATGCTATTAGCGCTTTCATAATAAGGTTTTCTTCCATGTGCTTAGTTTTGTTCCTCCATAGCTGCTTGTTGAAGATTTATGCACAAACTACAAATTCTGACATACTTTTCTCCGGGGTCTGCAGGTCTTCTAATAGCAGTGCAAAAGGAATACTTTAATATTCTTAATTACAAGGAGTTACACTTCAATGACTTTGGAGATCGTGTGGCTCAGTTGTTACACGTTGAACTAGCTTCTCCGTTTTCACAATGGCCAAACAGTAATATTAGGCAGGAAATTTTGATTGTTAACACTCACCTGCTATTTCCGCATGATTCAACTCTATCCCTTGTTCGACTACATCAGGTATCTAAGCTTTTCAGTGTTATCTAATCTTAAATCACATACCCATTATCAAGCTTGGTGTCTCACTCAGACTTAAATATCTTAAAAAAAAATCCTTTCTGTAGGTTTACAAGATTCTTCAATACGTAGAATCTTATCAGAATGATTTTCAACTCAAGCCAATGCCAATCATGCTATGCGGGTAAATTGGAAATGGACTTCCATCTACTTCTTTTGTTTAAAACACTTGAATCATGTTTTTATTTACTGCTTTTTATTTCAGTGACTGGAATGGAAGCAAACGTGGACATGTCTACAAGTTTCTGAGGTCTCAGGGCTTTGTATCTTCTTATGATACTGCACATCATTACACTGATGCAGATGCGCACAAGGTCATATATTTAGCCTTGTCTCGTGTTTTTTTCTTTTGGACGATGTGCCAATTCCAGACACTTATATTTATTTTAACATTGTGCAGTGGGTTAGCCACCGCAATCATCGGGGAAATATATGTGCTGTTGATTTTATTTGGCTTCTAAATCCTGACAAATATCGAAAACTACTAAAAGCAAGTTGGAGTGAAGCAGTGTTTGGCATGTTCAAGGTAAATTCTTAAATATGTTGACCTTGAAACAGTTATTTTGCGTATAATTATAGCATCTTTGCTTGGAATTTTGGATGACAGGTGTTTCCTATAAGATTTAACATTATTTCCTTTTAGCAAAAGTAGAGTTGGACATTTAGTAAGGCAATACACTCAGTATTGAAAAAGGATTCTAATTAGTTGTACTCTCCTGAACTTAATGCATCTAACTGTGTATTAGTAGTTAAACTTGTTAAAAAGATAGTGCCAGGTACAGACAGAATACTAATAGAATATTGTGGAACAGAGAGAGCAATGGGGTAGAGTTTGCTGTGGAGAATCTGTTTTGCTTATAAGACGTTATGTCAGGGAGGAAAGTATTTCTGTTAGTGTAATGATGCCTTTTATGGCTCCATTTCACTGCAATTTTGCTTATCAAGTCAAAGCTAGCACCAATCCTTTGTTTTTTTTTTTAAGTTTTTTTTTTTGGAACAGAATTGTCTTTGACAATATTTTTCTACCTTTTCAGTATCTGCTACGGAGAGCATCATTGACCGAGAGTGATGCATTTGCCTTTCTAAAGGCTGATAATGAAGATTGTATTAGCTATTCTGGTTTCTGTGAAGCACTTAAACAGGTATGTTGCTAAGCACTGTATAACTTCAGCTGATGCTTGTGTTTGCCTGATAAATAACCCTGACGATTATGGGTTTCTTCGTGCAGCTCAGTTTAACTGGTCATTGCCACGGATTAAATGACGAAGAGATAAAGGACTTGTGGCTCCAAGCAGATGTAGATGGAAATGGTGTTCTTGATTATAAAGAATTCCTGGTAAAGTATTTAATACTGAAATTAGCTAAAGTTGTCTTCACCTTGCGATATAAAGCTTGTTTGTTATCGTTGTAGAATAGGTGATGGACTTCCATTTTGTTATTTTTATAATCCTTTCTTCCTTGTTTGCTGATACAATTGGAATGACGCAGCAGCAAATCTGGAATTCGACAGCTCCAGATCAGAGTGATGACAACAAAAATGGGGTGCAGGACAACGGTTTAAATGATTCACAAGATCAAACAATTGGTTTCAGTGTACAAAATGCAGTTCTGTTTCCTCCAGAGGTGGAGACCGGTAGTTGGCCTGAAGACTACTCCCTTTCTGATCATGCACGGCTCACTGTAGTGTTCTCGCCAATAAGAATGCCATGCTCCCAGTTGATTTGCTAACAATATGCTTGCTTTTGGCCACTATTGCAAATGTTTTTGGAAGTAAAGACTTTTGTGTACATAATCAATGGGAGAAGCAGTGGAATGAGTAAGGAAAGATACAACAAAAGTTCTTTTCTGGGGAGATTTTATAGAGCCCTGGGTGGTGATTACTGCACCATCATTGACCATAAATTGATCTCACTCCTTGACAAGGTAAACAAAAGCATGCTACTGGTGAAGTACCACTTCTGTATCTCTGCCATTGCTGATGACCTTTGCAATGAGAAACACTGTTCACCCAGTTTGTTTTGCTCATTTTATTCTTATCTGGTGAAAGATTAAGACCAAAGGAAGAATGATCTGTATAATAGTTGTGTATAGGTCCTAGGCCCTTTTTGTAGCTTGGTAAGATGCACCCTCTAGCCAGAGTTTTCTTCTTGTAACACATTTTTCTCTTGATAGATTTGTCATAAATTCAAATTGTAAGAGTTCGATAAATTAGTTTCACACTTTCATTGTTTCAGGTCATCCCCTCCCCCTCCTAATATAAGCTAAATTCTTTGAAGAGAAAAGAATTAGATTTTTTACTCTAAATGTTAACAACTCAATTTTTTATAATAATCACTTAAGAGTTACATCAAAATAATTTATAATTGTTGTGGGAAGTTCATAAAGTCTCTCATCGCTTAGGAGTTTAGGTTAATGATAGTTTAAATATATTCTCCTCCTTTAATCCACATATGCATGTTTTAAAGACAAAATCGTGACGGACAAGAGTTTCACAGTGAACAATACCTCGAACGTGAAAATTGATCATAACGATGTTATCATAACAAACATGACGTCAGGACACTCTCGATCCTAAATTGAAACATTGGCACCCACCATGGGGTCGAGAGTAGAGTCTCGACTCGGGGGCTTATGTTCCAGTACGTTCGTGAGTCCCACATTACTTAGGAGTCGAGGTCAAATGTAGTTTAAATATATCATCCTCCCTTAACTCACCGAACATTACTTAGGAGGTGAGGTTTAGGAGTCGAGATCAATGGTAGTTTAAATACATCATCATCCCTTAAATCACTGAGACGTTTTTTAAAAATAAAATCGTGACAGACGAGAGCTCCAAAGTGGACAATACCTCAGACATCGAGAGCTTCAAAGCGGACAATACCTAGGACGTTAAGAACTCCAAACCAAAGCGGACAATACCTAGGACGTTAAGAACTCCAAACCAAAGCGGACAATATCTCGGACGTAAGAATTAACTCTAATGATGTTATCATAGCGTGACAGACGAAAGCTTCAAAGTGGACAATATTTCAAACGTTAAGAGTTCCAAAGCGGACAATATCTCGGACGTGAGAATTGACCCTAATGATGTTATAATAACAAACATGAGACTCGATCCTTAATGGGAACATTGGCACCCCATCATGAGGCTGATAGTAGAGTCTCACTTCACTCATACATACCCCTTAGTCATCGAATGTGGAGTTTATGTGTCTGGTACATTCATGAAATCTCACATCACTTAGAAGTCGATACTAATGGTAATTTAAATACACTCTCCTCCCTTAATCCATATAGTCATCTTTTAGGACAAAATTGTGACGGACAAGAGCTCTAAAGTGGACAATACTTTAGACGTGAGAGTGGATCCTAATAATATTATCATAACGAACATAACACCGAGAATCCTTGATCAAAACAATAATAATATAAAATTGTTTTATAGTATTTATGTATACGATCATGAAACTAGTATTGTATTCACTGTCATATGTTATATCAAACTCATGCTAATACATGGTGCAACATTCATGCAAGTTGCTCTTCAATTAACACCTCTTATGTGTTGAGAGGTAACCCATCAAACAATATGGTGAATCCTTTTTGGCAAGATAGTATCAAAAGTCTCCTCAACGATGTGAATGTCATGCACCATGTGTCATTGGTAAAGTGGTGACTAATATAATATACTAGCAAAGAAGATAACTCTTGCAAGAAGAAATTTTGGAAGTTGTTTAAAAGGGCCATTGTGAAGAGAAAATACACCACCCTAACCTAAAGTTAAAAAAGTTTGTAGGTGTCACACCTAACTTTAACTAAGAGTATAATTTTTCCCTTTATATCTTGATGACACATTTTTATTATGGACAAAAACTCAAAAAGATAAGCATGATAATTTGACAATTTAGTAACAAGTTTGACTCTTTCCATATCTATCCTAACAAAATATAGGTAGAGATTTGGATTTTAAGATGAAACTATAACATTTTAAAACATTTCGTGTGGACATGCTTCGTTGCATGATTTAATTTTTTTTTAACACAATTTATGAAGCAAGTTATTGAAGATGTTAGGTAAATGGCAATGTTCTTTGGGAAGAAAAAAAGATGAACATTGTGTGAATCCTACAATCCATGCTTTAGTTTCCATTATTATTAAAGTGAGATTCTCTTAACCCTTTTAAATAACTTCTACTTTTCTTTTTTGCCCATCCTTTTCCTCGGAAATCGCAAAGGAAGAAAAAGTTCTATGAACTTTAATGTTTCAGTCAATCCTTAACAAAGATAAAGTTGTCATTTCCTTTTCTTGCTTTTGTGCGCAGCTTGGCACGTTTGTTATTTGGCTATAACCTTTTCTTCCCAACTTCTCTCCGATATAAAACGAGTGGAATGAATATGAAATATGCAGAAAAATATGAATACATTATTGTTTCATGCCCTTTAAACTCACTTTTTACATGTGATTTACTTACACTTCTTAATTGAAGATCATTGTTTATATCTTGAATTTCTGTTTTCAGTATTCTACATTCTGAAGTATTCTTGAGTATTAATTTTTTTTAAAATACCTCTGTATTCATTATATATATATAATCTACTCAAATTAAACTCTCACCTTTATATTCTCATGACAGTTTAGATATAATAATTATTTAGTGTATCAATATAATCTAAATATATATATATATATATATTTCAATAGAAAGATGTGTTAAAAACATGATATGCTTGTTATTATTTTATTTTTTTCAAACTCCTCTTATCTATAATGTTTTTTTCTATTATCATTATATATACATATATATAATTTTTTTACAATTTTTTTCATAAATTATATATACATATATATAATTTTTTTTACAATTTTTTTCATAAACTTATTTTTATTTAGAAAGAAATTAATTTAATTTTCTCCTTCTTATATTTTATTTTCAAAAGTTCTTATAAATTTATGAAGTAATGAGTAAGTAAAACATTATATACAAACAAAGAAATAATCTTTTTATTAGAAATAAAAAATCATGGTTTATATAATATTCACTAGAACATCCCATAGAGTCAATCATTTTAATTCATTTCAGGTATTTTCTTAATTATCATAAAAAAAGAAAGATTGAAAGCAATGTAGGGTTGACTATACTCGAACCAAGTATAAATTACTGTGTGATAATCTCTCTTCACTTTATGATTCTTGACTTTTATTTTTCCTATATTTGTGCGCTTGTATTTTTCCATTTATCTTTCTGATTATATTATTTCCGTTTTATTTGTGTTTTATCCGATAGTTAAAACTTAATTTAACAAATTATTAACATCACGAGATAAATTTTAATTTGATATTTATTTTAATTTGTGCATTTATTCACCCTTCTAGATGTCATTTGTCTAATAATTTAGTTAATTAGAATAAAAAAAGAAAAGGGAGTTCCATAAATGCTCAAAGAAACATGGTTTATCATTCTAACCACCATCACTATCCTTGAGTGAAAGCAAAAATCAAAGACTATGAATGTAAAATTAGATAGAAAGGAAAAGATTCCTAATCCTTTTTATTCCTTTATTCTTTTATATGTAAGCCAAATAATTAACACTAAAGATAAAAGGTACATGAATCCTGAAAATTCTATTCACCTATAAGGATTGTTCTTTGCTCTTCTTTCTTATTCAATTATATAGCTCTATTTTTTGTGTTTTTGCCTGAAGAACAGACAGAAAATAAAAGGAAATTAATATAGAATTCCAATTAAAATACATAAAATAAAATGAATATTCTATTCCCTGCTAATATTTTAAATTATATATTTGAGGACTAGCTGAGTTAAAAATTAAAATCAGCAACTTAAAATAATAGAAAATTAGATAATTTAATAAATTATATATAAGTATATCTTTAATTATTATTTTTAATCTACTTCAATACATGTTTAAAAATGTATTTCAAAGTCAAAAGAGAATAACTTTTGTGGTGTCATTCTGATATGCCCACAAAATTTTCGTTTTTCCTTTTGTGATATAATAGACATCAAAAGTGAATCAAGTAGTATTTAGCAGCAGCCATATACGACAAGTTATGTAGAGCTTACATGTGCAGTAACTTCAAATGTGACTTGTTAACACACGAAAGTAAACAAAACACTTCTCTTTTACAACTTCAGACTCTGCAACGTATTTCCAAAGACAATGTGCAGGTTCAACATTGGCTATGGTTAATACGTCCAAAACTCAATTTTCTTCTAAAGTTAGTCATACGAATTTCTGTCAAAAAATCTACTACGAAGTTACAATCTTTATGTAACATGTATTTCATTTTTTTGATGCAGAGTAGTAAATGATCGTATCGTAACAATCTGAAACTGCTTAATTTCAAGTTGTGAGGTTGCTTACTTTGCAAGTAATAACAACACTGCATCAGAGCTTTTAGCAGTTATAGTTGAAGAATAGGGAATGAAGGTGAAGCAATAGTTATAGTACGATAAAAGGTTTTGTTTAAGGTTAAAATTAAAATTGTTTTTTCGGTGATTTAGAAGTTGAGCTAGCACTAGTTCAGTAGTGCAGTATAGTCATATCATACATATATATGCATGGCTTTAGCTTTTAACTTCTTTATTTCTGACAAGTAGGTTTCCTACTTTTCTTTTTCCTTGGATTCGCCTTTTTGCCACGTGAATTCAGATGCTATCATCTTCATCATTATTGCAACTTATCTTACGCAAACTGCAAGATACGGATATAATCAAGAACCTGTATCTTTCTCTTACAGAAACTCTAATTAATTTATGTTGCTGTCCCTTCAATAAAGTTAAGAGGGTTTTCATGTCTGATAACATTTTATCAGTTGAAGTCACAGATACAAGAAATGTCTCAATACACAAACAACGTGGCACAGTATGTATAGAAGAACACAAGATGGGGATATAGATTTTGGATAACTTCCAAATTTTATGTGTTGTGAAAAGAATTATTCATGGTACACAAATGTTTCAATTGAACTATTCAACTAGGGTTTGGTTCTTAAGATAGAAGGAACAGAGAGAAATATGAACACTAGAAAACCATAACACCAATAATGCATAATTTGGCTTCGTTTTTAAGGAAATTAATTTGTTCAGTTCACGTACTAATTTATCTGCTTCTAAAAATGGTCAAATTACATTTTTATTACTTTCATCCCCAACTTTTTGTACTGTTACTCTTTCATTTGTTCCAGAGTTAAATTATGCTTTAAGTTCTTGCATGGTGCATGGGATGAAAATTTATATATATATATATATATATATATATATATATATATATATATACATTTTATAATTTATTTCTTTTTTATTTATTTAATATTTTATTATTAATTAATTTCTTTTCAATTTGTAACATACGTAATCTCCTTAACTTTTCTTACTAAAAAAAAATGTGATCATATAAAAGTAGGTAGACATGCCTGATTTACATTAATAATAGAATAAACACACAAATGCTTTCCAACAATAAAAAAATTAAAGCACCTAACATGATATGCTATTTTATTATTTAATATTTAATGAAAGGAAAACCTATAGAAAAAAAATGAATGAATATTAAATGAGTGTTTATGTTTTTCTAATAATATTAATATAACATATTATACTAATAAATAACTTCTTTGGTTTAAATAATATATTATACTAACATATTATATATTAGTACAAATGTTATGTTGTTGGTATAGATAGAATTAGTAAATATTTCGTTAGAGAAAAGTGAAGTAAATAAAGTTAATCTTAATATTTAAGTTTTTTTTCTTAATAAATAACATTTTTTTTATAGTATTTTAACTTGATATTAAAACATTGAGTTGGTAAATAAGTTAGAATGTGATGAAACATATTTGTTTTGTTGTATAGTTTTTTTTTTAAAGAACAAAACATAACATTAATTAAAGTACTATATTTTGATTCCATTAAAATTTACAATGTAAAGACAATTAAGGAGGATGAACTGTCGCATTTTATCATGTTCACATGTCAAAATATACCTGCCCCACCTCTGAGTAGTTATTTTACACGCCAATTTATTATTGTTGTCATTTATCTCAAAAAAAAGGAAAAAACTTAACCTTAAATTATATTATATCCATATTTTTCTTCAGAAAAAATTAAACCATATTCTAAAAACATTTTAAAATGTTATTGGCAGAATTTTTGAACATGTAATGTCAAATTGAGAGATTCTATTGAAAGGAATGATGAGAATGTGAAGAAATGTTACCTTAAATCCAGATTCATTTGAGGTGTCAATTTCATGAGCAAGAACTAGGTATGGGTGTCAACCTTAAAATAAATTAAGAACTAAATATTCCATTTTACTTAAGATATACCAAAATATATATATAGAGTAAATATAACAAAATCAATGTTCAGACAATTTTATATTTCTACAAGTTTTGTGTAGCTAAAGGAACCTTAACTTAAGATAGCTTTTGGGGCAATTTAACTTGAATTACATTATTTAAGCACGATTAAGGTTTTAATATTTTTTTATCAGTAACTGAATCTTTGTTTAGGATTTTACAATAACTTAAAACATATGAGTTTGTGATTAAGGTAAAATTGTTTTAAATGTTTTATATATTTTTTTTCAATGGAATAATATAGTAAATTTTTTATTATGGAAAAAAAAGGTCAGTGAAGATTATGAAGTGATATTATTTTTTATTCATTCTTCCTTCTATAAAAAAATTTCGACCATATATTCTTTTTTCATTTACTTTTACGTATAATTTACAAATATACATTGTTTTATTTCGTTTTCTTATTTCTTCTGTGTTTAATCCAAATTTTTACATGTATTTGTCTCAGTGGTTTTATGTTACTGTTTTATTTGTGATTTTTAATCATATCTTTATATCTTTATTTTTCTTATAATTATTTCATATTTTGTATGTATATTATATATATATATATATATGTATATATATATATATATATATATATATGTTCAATTAAAGAGTAAAAAAAAAAATTGATATACTGAAAGTTTCTAAAAGTATCAATGAAGAGCCACAACTGCATGCATTACTAAGGGGTGTTGAATAGAAAATAAAAAAACATTTTTTTTAACCTAAGAATCATCAAATCTTAAGAATTATGAGATTTATAGGAAATGATTAAGTTCAAAAAATTCTTATATATATTTAAGGTTTTTTTATATAAATAAAGAATAATTTATTTGACTAATAGAAATATTTAATTTATTGTTATAGTAAAAGCATGAGGGGGGACTAATCTACTAGTTCGGGGGACTAATTAATTTATTTGATTTGCTTAACCTATACTTGCTTTTAAAAAAATTATGTATTAAAATAAAAATAATTATAATAATATTATAATTTAAATTATAAATTTTAATTAATTAAGTTTAGATTATTAATTATAATTAGTTATTTTAATATATAAATATAATAATTTTTTAATTTATCTAATACAAATATTAATTAATATATAAAAATTTAAAATTTATTTATATAATTAAATATTTCTTTTAAAAAAATTCATATAAAATTATGTATATATATATATATATATATATATATATATATATATATATAAAAGTATTGAGTTCGTCAATCTGTAACAATTAAAATATATAACATAATGGACTATAACAAACCATGTTTTTTTTTTTAACTAAAAATGGAACAAATAAACTCGTTTTCCTATATATTAACATTATGGTCTCTATTAAAAAATAATTAAAATAAAATAAAATTCTCGGACTATTATGTAAGAATGATTTGGAGATTTAGTATAAAATCTAAAATTACTTTTTTTTATGTTATTTTTTAAATGTAATTCAAACATATGAGAAAAGTGACATTGAGTAGAATAATTTTTTTAATACTTTTTTTAAAAAGTATTTAATTATTCAAGTTTTTTCATAAGAAATCTATAATTAGAAAAAATATGTTTCAATTTTGATTTATTTCTAAATGTAATTTTAAAAGTTAATGTTTTTCATGCATGATTTTTTATTAATATTCCCAAATAAATATTTCCACATTCAGAGATGAAAAATCTAACTCTTTTAAAAATCATATTATTCTTATTAAATAATTAATGTATAATATATACAAATATTAATAAAAGTAACACATCATTTTTCATTTTAAAAAATTTATATAAATATTTTTATTTTTTACCAACCAGACATAATTTAATCTTGTCCAGAACTTATAGTCATAGTTATCTACATTCATGGTTTTAGGCTATGAACTTTTTCCCTTATACCATGTAAATATTTTTTTTAAAATAAAATAATTAATTTAAGCTTATATACAGTTCAATTATTTACTAGAAAGAAAATAAAAAAATATCACGTATTTAATAACAAAGAATTCTACAATTTCACTTTTTTTTTTTAATTTTTGTTCTTCATATTTATTTATTTATTTTTATCTTTTAGAAAACAAGCACAGCATAATATTTTGTTTGTCGTTGATTATTTGTTGACTTGAGTTTTCTTACCCAGCACGTAAAAGGAGGGCAGGGTTGCACCGTGCACCGGTGCCACGTGTCAAAATACGATTTGCTGAACAACATGTCCTTTTTCCCTCTAATCTAGTGCTACGATGAATAATAGCAAAAGTCCAATTTCCCATTTACCCCAACACATGTCCCTGGCTCAAGCCTTCACCGCGTTGGATTGAATGAGTGGCATTACCGTAGTTTCTTGAAAAGAAGAGGGTAAAACATGGCACGCGGTATATACGAGGAATTTAAACGCGGTTTCTCTCCTACGTTAAATCCATAAAAAATAGTGAGTCGCCACTACACCACACTGTCTGAAACTTTCTCCTCCTCATGCGTGTTCCCTCTGAGAAAAATAAAAGCGAGAAAAAGCTATGGGCCATGCCACCTACCTCTGAATTATTCCCTTGATTCTCAATTTCTTCTTACGTTTATTTCTTTATAATTGATCGCGCCTCCTTTCCATACTTTTTTTCCCTTTCTTTTTTAGTTTCGTCTTGGTTGAGTGAGCATGAGTTCCGTCGAGTGCTATCCGTCACGCGGGGACGATGTCGCCGTCGTGTCGCTGGATTCTCTCCCGTTAGGGTTCCGATTCCGACCTACCGATGAGGAACTCATCGATTACTACCTGCGGCAGAAGATTAACGGTAATGGTGCCGAGGTTTGGGTTATCCGAGAAATTGATGTATGCAAATGGGAGCCGTGGGACATGCCTGGTATTTTTCTCTTCAACCTTTTCTAATCATTAACTCTTGTCATGCTGGCTGTGTTGTTGTTCCCTTTGGTAGTTTTTTCCGGATTTCAACTTAATTCATTCGAAAAGTTAGTTAGTGTTGTGTTAAACTTATATATTATTTTAGTAATTTAATTAAACAACATCTGATTTTTAACACATTCCATTATGTTCAGTCAAATTATTAGATTGCATCTTTAGATGGATAATTATATTTAGTTATTTTTTAGTTTATTAATCGGATTTGTGTTATAGATTTGTCGGTGATACGGAACAAGGATCCGGAATGGTTCTTCTTCTGTCCACAGGACAGAAAGTATCCAAATGGGCATCGATTGAACAGAGCAACGAGTCATGGGTATTGGAAGGCAACGGGGAAGGATCGTAAAATAAAGTCTGGAATGAGTTTGATTGGAATGAAGAAAACTTTGGTGTTCTACACTGGTCGTGCACCCAAAGGGAAGAGGACCAATTGGGTTATGCACGAGTATCGCCCCACCTTGAAGGAGCTTGATGGCACCAATCCTGGACAGGTACATAGAGTATTGCAATTTACAAATAGTTTAGGAATTATTTGAAGTGATGATGATTCTTAATTTGTTTTATACCAGAATCCATATGTCCTTTGTCGCTTGTTCAAGAAACAAGATGAGAGCCTTGAAGTTTCGCACTGTGACGAGGCAGAACAAACTGCTTCAACTCCAATTGCTGCCAATTACTCTACAGAGGAAATAGTTTCTGGTCTTGCTGTTGCTGCAGTGTCCCCATCACTGGTTACAGAGGACGCAAAGGATCAGGTAATTGTCCCTGCGCACTCTGAGGAAGAAATATCTAACGTTATAACTCCGGTTGATTGCCGTAGTGATGGATATGATGCTTCTGATGCACAAAATCAATATGTGGCACCATCAGCAGAGGTTAGATGGACTAACTGAGTTATTATTTATTATTATTACTAGTTATCACTGGTTTATACGTAGTGTTACAAATAGAAAAATAATGCATATCTTAAAATCATAACGGAGGATTTAGGCTATTTAGAAGATTATTAAACGTTATTTCAGTCTTTATTAGCAAGAGTGAACTCAATGTCTATTTGCTAAAAAGCAGAAGCTGGTCATACTTGTTTGGAGGAAACTCCTCTTATAAGCACTTTTAGGGGATAAAAATAAGGAAAAATAAAATTAGCTTTTCCATAAACTAAAATTAACTTGTGCATGAGTTAAAAATCAAATTTTGGAGAAGCTAGTGAGAAATAACTTGTATAATAAACTAGCTCTTGTATAAGCTAAATTTAGTTTATGGAGAAAAATTTTTTTTTTTCTGTTCTAAAAACTTACGGAAAAAGACATCATAATAATTAATTTTTTATTATAGATTTATTTGTTTTATTGTTTTCATTCACCCTGATTAGATTTTTCATAGACTGTAATTATTTATGGTTGATGTTTTACCTACAGGAGTTTCAGCCATCGAACTTTGATATATTTTATGACCCAAAAAACGAGCTATTGGATGACAAATTATTCTCTCCTGTACTTGCACATATTCAACCAGAAATTCATTATCAACCAAACAGTGAATCAGATGGTCGATTCGGGCTTCAATATGGTACTAATGAGACAAACATTACAGACTTTCTGAATTCTGTTGTTAACTGGGACCAACTACCCTACGAGGAGTCCAATTGTCAACAGTGGAGCTACCCCTCATTCAATGTTCAGAATAACGTATTAGGCAGCGACATAGGTGCTGAACTTGCCAATATGACAGTGAGTAACAGCTCCTACATTATTTATCTTTTCTTCATTTTAGGTAGGTTCTGCCTCGATAATAAAGCGCGGTAGTTCCCAACACCTGGTGTCAGCTCCAACAATCTAACATAATTTTCTTGTGTCTCCTGTATAACGTTAGTCTTATTGTATGATGCAGTATATGCAAGCTGATTACGCTGAGGAGGCAAACGACAGAAAGATTCCTTTGGTGATTACACCAGAATTTTGCAGCACCACTGGCATCCCCATTGAGCATGGTAGTGATGAGCAAAAGATCAATGTTGAGTTCTTTCAAAACAATTCCTTAACTGATGTTAATATGGGCCAAGTATACAATGTATTTAATGCTTATCAGCAAGAAAGCATCTTTAATACAGTTCCTAGTGGGGATACTGGAATCTTAAGGAGGACTCGAGTGGTACAAAATGAACAACTAAGTGCAAACTCAACACAAGGTACAGCACAAAGGAGAATTCGTTTGCAGCAGAAGGCACAGAATGAACTCTCAAATAAAATGGTGAAAAATAGAAGTTGTGTACAAGTGCCTAATTCAAAACAAATCACTGCTGTGGTAAGAATTTTGTTTGATTAACCTGTCTGTCCAAGTAATTGTCTTTGCTTGTGAATTGACATCAGTTTTCTTTGATAGGAGAAGAAAGCTTCACAAAAGCATGCTTCTGATGAAAGTGCTACTCTGACTGATGATGGTAATGAACAGAAGAAGAAGACACCTGAGTCAAATTGCAATAGAAAGATTTCCCGACAAGTTACAAAAGCAAGTTCCACCTTGGGGTTAAAAGATTTTTTATTACTCAGAAGGGTGCCACACATTTCAAAGGCTACCTCCAATCGTGCCAAGTGCTCTTCTGTTTTTGTAGTTTCAGCCTTTGTAATAGTCTCATTAGTGGTCTTCACTGACATCTGCGGATATCTTAAATTCTAAACTTGTAGGAGATCATTCCTTAGTTTTTGTTTTTTGCCTCTATTTCTTTTTTGGGCCAATTAAGTAGAGTGGTGTAGGGTCTACTTAGATTTGTTGATAGTTGAATATATATGCGACTGCACATGTAGTTGGTGTATTACATGTATGTATACTCACCAGGTTAGCTAGTCCTAGACTCTTGATATACATCAGATATACAGTTTTTCCTCTCCAAACTCTCCTAATTTATAAGTCACAATATTCTAAAAACTAAATTTTAAAATGATTATTAAACCAATTACATTATAAAATAGTTAATGTTTAAATACATTCCGAAATTTACCATCTAAAGTATGCTAAAATTGTAACAATTCTAGAAACCAAATTCTGAAGTTGTATGAATTAAATTTTGTTTTTGTATTTTTTTTATCCATTTAAATAACGTGATTAAATAAAATATAATTAATAATTAAAAAAAGAATAACATATACCTAATATAATATAATATATAATTAAAAAAAACATTCAAATATAACTCAAATATAGTTGGAATGCTAATAAAACACAAGTCAAAATTTTATTTTACGTTAATAAGATATTTAATGTTACTTTTGTGGTGTTCCTAGTTAACTTGTACGATATATACAAACTTACTCAAATTAGATTTTCAACGAGTTATGGGTGAAAAATGAGGTAAACAAATTTATATTAATTATCATCTTGTCATTATAGCGTGAATTGCTAGCAGGGATGAAAAAATGGCTTAGGTCTGGCGCAGCCGTCATAACATGACGGGGCGGGTTGGTGTTTTCAACCATTAGTCTGTTTTGGCCCATCCCGTCAAATCCACCAACTTGTCGGGCTAGCCCGTGGCCCGCCTAATTAATAAAAAAATAATTTTTTATTGTAATAAAATTAATTATAAAAATAATATATAAAGTTAAAAATTTTAAAATGAAAATTAAAAAAATTTCACTCTCACAAAAAATATTCTTCCTACTCGAAATACAATATTCTCTCTTGTTCTCCTTGTTCATCCTAAATACTAATTATTTTTATCCTTATGACTTGAATTAAAGATGTAAGAATTACTCAATCAAGAATAATGTAAAGTTTTATCAAATAAAAAAGATATAGGTATTTAAATTTTTCAATATAAAAAATATAAATTTTATAAGTTTTAACATTATATATATATATATATAGTTTTAATTATATATATATATATAATTAATGACAAAAAAATAATAATCTTATTATTAAATTTATTTAAAAAATTTATTTTAAAAAATAAATTATTATTTTCTAAATTATGGTAGGTGCTCTCTTGGTAGGGTGAACCATTGTCTACAACCCATCATGACTAATAACGAGCGAGTTCGTCTCACCTCACTTTTTGGTAGGCCAAAATGGGATTCCTAATTGCTGGTAATCCTCTCGTCATTGTTAAGAATGTGATTTTGGTGGGAAAGAAACATATGATGATAGTTGCTATTTTTTTTTAATTTAAAAAATAATAAAAATACCAGAAAAAAAGAATTTAAAAAGTAAAAAAAAACTATAAAAAAATATGAAAGCAATCGCTTTGCCTTCTTTTGAAACATTATATTTGAAATAATATTGATTAATTAGTTAATAATGTGTTTTCTCGTCTTTCCTTGTTTATAAGAGTCCATGATCATGTGCTAATCAATGTGGGTGGGTCAACGAGTGGCTTGTAAGCAACAAAAAGCAACTTGGGAAACAGGGGTAGCTGTAATTCCTGAAGTCACAGAATTCAGAGTCACACGAACGCAGAGTGTAAACTGTTGAAAGATGAGTGCGTATTTGATCGCAGCCATTTATCTGTTTGTGGTGTTTCTGTCATCATCGACGGTGTTCGGGTCCGAGGGGGATGAAGTCTATGCCAAAGAGATTCTGGGCGCAGCACAGAAGGAGAAGGAATGGTTGGTTTCAGTGAGAAGGCAAATCCACGAACACCCAGAACTGGCTTTCCAAGAACACAACACAAGTTCTCTTATACGCACTCAACTTCACAAACTTGGCATACCTTACACATACCCAGTTGCCAAGACCGGCGTCGTTGCGCAAGTTGGCTCGGGTTCCCGCCCCATCATTGCTATTCGTGCTGATATGGATGCACTCCCGTTGCAGGTAAATCCGTTTTAACATATTGCTTTGATTATGTGTATGTGGATGTGGATGTAACGTTGGTTTGATGGTGGTGATGCTTAGGAGCTTGTTGAGTGGGAACACAAGAGCAAAATTGACGGCAGAATGCATGCCTGTGGACATGATGCTCACACCACCATGCTACTTGGGGCTGCAAAGTTGCTTAGCCAGCGCCAAGATAAGCTTAAGGTTCTTTTCATATTCTCAGATTTCTAATTTTTGGTGGATTTTTTAGGTGTCTGGTGTTTGTCTCTTTTGAGGTCATTTTAATACTTTTACATAAAAAAACAATTAACTATTCTTAGAGTTAGAACCCAAAGTTCTACATTGATTATATATGCTAACCATATAATTTTGGTATGTTGTCCATTGATGTTAGGTCCACCTAGTGGGATAAGGCTTTTGTTGTTGTCTATTGAAGTTATGAAAATTTGAACACCATTTAACCCCCTTAGGTAGCTATGGATTTCAATATGAAAGTCCATAGGTCGAAAGAATCCAGAAGCAGCTCTGGTTAGTTCATTTTGAAAAACATGGAGGTGGTTTTGAAGTCAAGTCTGCCGTGATGGAGTTATCTGTAGATCCAAATAAATTAGTGTCAAGTCCATTGAGCAAACATAGTCATTGACAAGTTGACTTGTAATGTTGATATCTTACTATCTTACTGTTGTATGACTCTAGTTATTGCCTACATATCTACCTCACTTGGATGAGGGCGTATGTCGCTTGTAACTCTGAAATTGATCTGCTTAATAATATTATTCATGCTGGTACAGATTTTTTTATGATTAATTGATCCATCATTTTTTGAGAAAATATTGTAGTAAGGAAAATTCTCTAAAATCATAAAAAAAATATGTGCAACTTTTTGCTAATTCAGTTTAGAGATTCAAGCATGGATGAGACCATCTGCGTTTTTCGTGTTGGATGATTATGATATAATCATATTGAACCTGCTTCTCCTTTGGCATATCCTATATCTACGAAGCTCAAAGCTCAATTTAAGTACCAAGTAATTAATTCTGTTCTATCGAGCACCAGTTACATGACTTTTTTATAATGAACTTTCTTTCTGGTCATTCTCAATGAACTAAGGTTCATGATAAATGTTGAGAAAATAGACTCTAAAATAGCAGGGACAACTTTACCATAGCGGCAAACATATAGTTCAAAACTTGATGTGTTACTGGCTTTATAAATGTCAAAACTGTTATATATCAAACCATTCATGTATGCGCACCCAACAACGCAAGCTTTTGGAATAGTTGATTCATGATATGATTTTAGGGCCTTTATGACCATGAATTCTAGGGTTTCAATCTTGTATCTCCCATTCTTCTAAATAAAATATAAATTTTTGTGCAGGTTAAGGTGGTTATTGTCCACACTTTAATACCAAAGTTAAACCACTCATGTGCCTATACCCAACAATTTGAGCTTTTGGGATAGTTTCTTCATGACAAAAATGTAATGGAAACTGATATAATAACGAAAACTTCGGGAATCTTGCTTACAATTAAGAGTAGTTACTATAAAATTCACACAGAATCAAGCTAGTAAATATAGATAATATCCATTTATCAGGGTTAAGACCCAAAGTAGCTAAACTTCATAAAAGGGAACTTGAGGGTAAGGTTGCAAGGAAGGTTTTTTACCCAATCAGAGCTAGTTAAGATCCCACAATTCTTGGTTAGAACAAAAACAATATTTTTGTATTTGGATTAAACTGCCCCAACCGCTATCATGAAAAAAAATTATTTGTCCAAAGGACGGTAACCGAGAGATGGAAAGAAGCACTCTTATTCAAAGAAACTTTTATCTTTGTTGATAATGTGCCTTTAGAGTTACATATTTTTAGGAAGCTTTCAAATTTGTTTCAATTTGAATAAGTCAATTTGTTTTCTACTTTGAATCTATTATCAGCTGTTAGTGGATTAGCCATTTCCTATTTGATAGATAAGTATTTGATAGATAAGTTATTGATGTGGTTCCTAGAATCATAGGAAGTGATCTCTTGGTCAGTCATTTTTTAATGTATTTAAATTAAGTTGCATTACGATAATAAATTATTTGAGTCAACACTTTTTACAAAACTCTTCATTTATCTGTTCTTTCATTGTTTTTCTCTCTGTAGCCATTGTCTTTGTTTTTAAAACTAACATATCTGAGGTCTCTTCTTGAGGACCTGTGTGTTTACACTGCCATGAATTTTGAAACAAATTTTTCCCAAACTGCTCTCCCAGTCTTTAATGTGGAAAATTATGACCTCTAGGCAATAAAAATGGAATCTTACTTGGAGGCATTTGATTTTGGGAAGCTTCTAGGAACCAAGAATTGATGAAAAAAGGAAAAGAAATATTTTTATTGAATAGAATGAAAATAAGAGAAAATAAGAGAGCACTCTCTCCTCTAAAGGGTTTCCCTTTCAAAAGGATTTTTCTTTTCACAAAGAGGTAATACTCAATTTACAAAAATATGAACCGACCCCTCCTATCTTTCTTATCCTATTTATATCTAAACAATACCTCAAGCAACTAACTAATTTATTAGTATGCTAACTATGTTTCTAACTTTTCCTTCACTTTATACCCTAACAATACACCCCACTTAAAATCAACCTTGTCTACAAGGTTGGAATAGTGGAAACTTGATCCCATTGCTTATCCTCATTACATGATCTTCATTTGCCCTCTTGTTTGCATGCGATGCTTTTCTGCTACAGGAATGAGAATCCATGGCTACTATATTCAAATTCAAGTCTAGTGGCTTGGATAGTGGCAGGGATGAGGGTGGATTTTATATAACATAGCCTTTGAATCTTCCTTCTGCATTGAATCCATTGCCAAGTTGTGATCCATAGAGGCAATGAAATTTAATGTTAAAGGATCACCCAACAAATTAAAATTCCCAGATTCTAATACTATTGATGCTCCAACCACCTTTACTATCAAATAATGTTTGGTTACATCTCCACCTTCAACTTCCTCTTTGATTAACTCTATGATTTGGTTGTCAAGTAACTGATCTTGACTCCCCACAATCTTCACATTCTTTATGGATGCATCAACATCTACCTCCATCATAATCTTTATTTCTCTTGCTAATTTCTTTTCATTTTTGGTTTCTTTTCCACTACAAAGGGTGTGATTCTTAATTACGGAGCCTTATTCTTTACTTTATTTTTTTATTTCAAAAATTGCAATGGAACACCCTCACACTCAAAATTGCCACTCTCTGAATGAGTTTCCCCTTCTACGCTTCCATCAAATGTTGGTAATTCCACCTTTCTTGTCCAAGAACTAGCCCCGTTTGCAATGCATTTTGACCCACTTCCCTCCATGCTAGATCAAATGTGGATCACCCCCTCCATTCACTTTCAAGAACATTGTGAAAGTCTCCATTATTTTGCTTCATATTATAATATCAGTTTGCTCTTCTTGCTTCATGGTAGTCAATCTTCCAAAGATGTGGCTACCATAGGTATATTTGAATCTTTTTATCAAAGCGGTTGAAAATGATTCCCAATCTGAATCTGGGTTATCTTGACACCAATAATAGAACCAACGCATTGCCACACCATTTATGCTCATGAATGCATGTAGCAGCTTATGAAAAGAATCAATTTCTTATACCTAAAAGAATTTTTCAGTCTAGGTGATCTAACCAATTGGGTCTGCCCCACAAATGCTGGCAACTTCCCCATGGACAAAATTTGTGTTTCCTCCATCTTTAACACTGGCTCTCCCTCAAAGATCCGGCAGGTCGGACCAATTTGTTAAGAACCAAGAATTAAACAAAAATAGAAAAGAAATATTTTTATTGAATAGAATGAAAATAATAGAAAATAGGAGCACACTCTCTCCTCCCAGGGTTTCTCCTTCACAAAGGATTTCTCCTTTCACAAAGACTAATGCTCAATTTACAAAAATATGAACTCTCTTCTCCTATATTTCTTATCCTATTTATATCTAAATAACACCTCAAGCAACTAACTAACTCATTAGTATACTAATTATGTTACTAACTTTTCCTTTACTTTATACCCGAACAATTTTTCATTTGATTTAATGAAGGAGGAGCAACAGGTTGCATTTCTAGTTATAGCAAGCTCAGTCATTTTTTGGCACAAAAGGCTAGGTCATTTTCATCATTTGAGAATGAAATACATGCTAAAAAAACTAGTACGTGGAGTTCCTTCTTTGACAGAAAAACCAGTGGATTGTCAAGCTTGTAAATTGAAAAAGCAAACAAGGAATCCATTTCCTGAAAGTAGTTGGAGGGCAAGTCAAAATCTACAGCTTGTTCACACTGATGTTGCTGGACCACAAAGAACTTCATCATTAAAAGGATGCCTTTATTATACTCTTTTTATCTATGACCTAATGAGAATGTGTTGGATTTACTTCCTTAAATACAAATTAGAAGTAGCTACTGTTTTCTAGAAATTCAAAGCTCATGTTGAAAATCAAAGCAATTGTTGTATTCAAATTTTGAGGTTAGACATTGGAAAAGAAGGTATAGCTAATAAGTTTCAACAATTTTGTGATGAAGTTGAGATCGAGCATCAATTGATGGCTCCTTACATTTATCAACAAAATGGGGTGAGTAAAAGGAGAAATAGATCAATCATGGAGATGACCAGGTTTATGCTTCATCAAAAGGAATTACGAAAGAAGTTTAGGGCTGAAGCTACAAATATAGTTGTGTTTATTCAAAACAGAATTCCTACACTAGCTATACAAAATCAAACTCCTTTTGAAGCATGGTTTAGTTTTAAACCTTCCTTACATTTTTTTTAAAATATTTAGTTGTTTGTACTATTCGCATGTACCTCAGGTTAAGTGTGACAAGCTCAACAAAAGAGTTGAACCTAGAATATTTATAGGCTACAATAATATCTCTAAAGAGTATAGGATTTTTCAGCAAAAAACTGGAAAAATTCTTATAAGCAAAGATGTGCACTTCATGGACGACGAAAAGGGTGTTGGAGTGACTTAAATAAGAATCAAAATGTTGTGTTGGAACTTGATGACCTAGTAGATGATGCACCCATTTGTGGTACAAGGTTGCTTTTCGACATCTATCAAAGAAGCAATGTAGAGTGTGGAATATAGTTGTGTGTGAACTAGCCAGTTTCAAAGAAGCTATGATGTAGCATAAATGGTTAGCTGCAATGAAAGAGGAGATGTCCATGATCGAGAAAAATCAAACTTGGGTGCTGGCTTCAAGACCTCATTACATAATTATCATGGGGGTGAAATGGGTGTTTCGAACAAAACTCAATCTTGATGGTTCCTTAAGCAAGCACAATGCAAAACTTGTTATTAAGGGCTACTCTCAAATTTTTGGAGTCAATTATGAAGATACTTTTGTTCTAGTAGGAAGGCTTGACACAATAAGGTTGCTACTTGTCATTGTTGCTCAAAACGGGTGGCAAATGTTTCAAATGGATGTCAAGTCAGCCTTTCTCGATGGTTTTTTGCAAAAGGAGATTTATGTTAAGCAACTAGAAGGTTTTGTGATCAAAGGACAAGAAGATAAAGTCTATTTGCTAAAAAGGTTTTATACAATTTGAAGCAAGCTCCTAGAGTATGGTACAACAAAATTAATGATCATTTGTTAAGTTTGGGTTTTCAAAAAAGCCATCTGAAGCTACACTATACGTCAAGCAAGTTGATACTGATATTTTAATCACTTCTTTATATATTGATGATCTTGTGGTGACAGGAAGCAACCTAGCACTGATTAATAAATTCAAGCAAGAAATGAAGGAGGTCTTCGATATGACTAATCTTGGTCTTATGACGTATTGTTTGGGCATGGAAATCACCTAGTAGAAGAATGAAATGTTTATTTGTCATAAGAAATATGCAGTAGAGATCCTAAAAATGTTTCAACTGGATGAATGCAAAATAATGAACACTTCTATGAATCAAAAGGAGATGCTCATCAAGGAGGATGGAGATGATACAATTGATGAAACACATTTTAGAAGCTTGGTTAGACGTTTAATGTATCTTACATCCACAATACCTGACCTTTATTTCCAATTTACGAACTGTCATCTATGTAGTTAAGTACTACCAAGTACATGACTTCAAATTATTTGTTTTTGTTTTTTGTGATTGGGCAGATAGCTTGGATGATATGAAAAGTACTTCAGGGTACTATTTTAGTATGGGTTCAAGTGTTTTCTCTTGGTGTTCCAAGAAGCAAGAGGTTGTAGCTCAGTCAACCACTGAAGCAGAGTTTATTGCAACTGTAGCAAAGCTGTGAATCAAGTTATTTGGTTGAGGAAACAGATTTGGTCTGAAGCAAGTTAAAAGCACAAAAGTTTTTTTTGATAACCAAGCAGCACTTTCAATTTCACATAATCTTGTGTTGCATGGGAAAACCAAGTATTTTAATGTGAAGTTGTTTCACATAAGAGAAGTTCAGGAAAATGGTGATGCAAGTCTGGTTTACTGTCACACACAAGGCCAAGCTGCTGACATATTCACCAAATCTTTTCCACTCAGTAGATTCGAATTCTTAAGGAAGAAACTAGGAGTTTGCAGCCAAAGCAAGGAGTGTTGAGAATGTGCCTTTAGAGTTGCATGTTTTTAGGAAGCTTTCAAATTTGTTTCAGTTTTAATAAGTCAATTTGTTTTTTGTTTCAAATCTATTATTAGTTGTTAGTGAATTAGCCATTGCCTATTTTACAGCTAAATTATTAATGCAGTTCCTAGAATCATAGGAAGTGATCTCTTGGTCAGTTATTTTTGAATGTATTTAAATTAAGTTGCATTACGATAACAAATTATTTGATTCGACACTTTCTGTAAAACTCTCTTCATTTATTTGCTCTTTCACTGTTTTCCTCTTTGTACCAACTGCCTCTGTTTTTAAAACCATTAATCCTTTTAGACATATTCCAAGTTCAACTTAAATCCTTCTGTCACATTATTAGGCTTCTCTTATACAGAAAACAACTGTCCGTTTTTCAGATTGCTAATGTTGCAATTCGTTTGGCTTCTCATTGCTCTTATAATATCTTTTTCGTATGTATTGAGTTATTTTAGCCCCACCAATAATTGCCTAATCTTCGGGAAGCTGGTAGTGATCATAACGAAGCTAGTAGAAGTTCCACCTTTGAGCTTTGAGTTTTCTACTTCACAACTGTGGGATTTCATACCAGTTTGAATTTAAGAAGTTGTTCAGTAAGGGTTATCCTTGTCATACATGTGTAGGTGAACTTGAGAGTATTGATTCTCATCTGGTTCTGAAGTTATAGCAGTGCCTCTTAAGCGTTTGTCTGTTTTGACTTTAATGGCACCAGCTGCTGGATTAGATGACAATTACGCACACAATATTTTAGATAAAGTAGATTGCATGAAGTTCCAAATGTATTCACTAACATAATTCCAACTAGATCTGACTTGGTGCATGTCAAGCTTTTTGTTGCTTTCTGATGAAATTAGTCAATTCATAAACGATTTAAATATTGGCTATTGAATTGCCTTTTTCCTGGTAATAGTATCAAAGCAAAGGCAAGAAAGATGTACGCACGGTCTTTTCATTTTTCTGTTTGTGTTTGAAGTTCTGACACATGCACAACTTTTTAAAACTCAAAAATTGTTATATGAAGAATGTCCTTCTAATCTTTGGTACTAAAGGGAACTGTAAGACTTATTTTCCAACCTGCTGAGGAAGGAGCTAAAGGTGCCTCTCAAATGATAAAGGAAGGGGTGCTTCAAGATGTAGAAGCAATTTTTGCATTACATATTGATCCTACAACCCCTACTGGAGCTATAGCATCCATTCCAGGTGCATTGACTGCTGCTGGATGCCAGTTTGAGGCAAAAATTGAAGGAGTAGGTGGTCATGCTGCAGCGCCCCACATGAATGTAGATCCAGTGCTGGCTACATCATTCGCAATTTTGGCACTGCAACAGCTTGTCTCAAGAGAAACTGATCCTCTTCACAGTCAAGTATGTGCTACTCTCAAGCTTGACATTCACAATAAGATTTTGCCATAGCCGTTTAAAATGCAGCAAATTTGAAAGAGAACCTTTCTAAACTTTGTTTCAGCCCCTTGCTGTGGCTCTTCTTCATTCATAAAATCCTATTAGGTCTTCGTTTGTGCTATTTCATTTGTATAAGCTATCCTCTATTCTCTTTACCTTACATCATATATTTGCCACAGGTGATATCAGTTACTTTTGTCAAAGGTGGAACTGCATTTAACGTGATTCCCTCCTATGTGAAATTTGGAGGCACAATTAGGAGCCTGACAACTGAAGGCATGTACCATTTCAGACAGCGATTAAAGGAGGTATGCATAATGATCATTTAGACATCGCTAATATCATTAAGAAACTTTCACACGCTGTTGGGAAGTTCTGGTTCATCTTTGCTTTGCCTCATCTATGTAATTCAGCGAAAATCAGTTTGGGTTTTCTTGTCAAATCAGTTTCTTATTAAGCAATACTTTTTCCGTATAGGTATATCAATAAAACAAGAATGTATTTATATTTTGTTCGTACTTTTGTGTCTGTGGTAGTAGAAGAATGAATAGTGAACTTAGTTGTTTTGCTCTAGAAATTTTGTTTAGTTTATGTTGTTAGGACATGCTTGCAGATTATTGAAGGGCAGGCAGCTGTGCACAGATGTAATGCTTATGTTGATTTCAAAGAAGAGTACTTCACCCCATATCCTGCTGTTGTTAATGACAATGATCTGCATCTCCATGTGGAAAGAGTTGGCCAACTTCTGCTTGGTCCAGACAATGTTCGTGAAGCCAAGAAGGTGATGGCAGGTGAAGACTTTGCATTTTTTCAACAATTGATTCCCGGAGCATTGTTTTCCATTGGAATCAGAAATGAAAAAGTGGGAGCAATTCACTCTCCACATTCCCCTTTCTTCTTTCTGGATGAGGAAGCTCTTCCAATAGGGGCAGCTCTGCACACTGCCCTTGCTGAGTTGTATTTAAATGAGCATAAGCATGCTGTTCATTGAAATTCGTTTCAATAGCTGATAAATGCATTGATGATTTTGTCTATTTAAGAAACATGTACATATTTCATAAAATTGTTAGTAGATCAGTTCAATTATTATGTGATGATACATGGTTACACCAAAGGAAAGTTATTTTATAAATTGTCACATCCCTGTGCCTTGTATAAATTTCAAGGGAAGTAGAGTTTTGTTCAGTAACATATTTACCTGAAAGAGTTTTTTAAACCTATCAATTGGTTCTTAAAACTCGTTGCAATTCTTTTTGAAGATCTCGGTGGTTACTTGAGAATGCAAAACACTCCCACTTACCACCTCTCAGTCTCCTTCTCCCTCATCATTTTTCTTGGATTGGAAAGCATTTGTGGAGTTTCGTAGGTGCGCATTTTTACTCGTTTTTATTTTTTGTATTTTGATGATTTGGTGGAATCAAGTGTCCCTTGTTAACAACTCGTTCAACAGCTTAAGACAGAGTTATATGCCAAATTAATATTAATAAAATAATATTTTTAAGTAAAGAGTTTTAAATAAATATACTGTAATAACTCTGAAAACTAAAATAAAGTCACCATTTTATAGATATTGAACATTCAAAAAGTAAAAGTAAAAATAAAAATAAAATATATCATACTATTTGAGTTTAAATTTTAATAAAATAGAATAATGCCTATCAACAATAATAAGTTTAATTAGTATATATATATATATATATATATATATATATATATATATATATATATATATAAAACACAGATAAAAAAAAATTAAGATATAAAAATATAAAATAATATAAATCACCAAGTCATGTGTTTTTAAGAAATGTTTTAATTATAATTGATAAAATAATTTCTATAATGTGTAATTTAAAAATAAATTACTGATTTAGGTAATTTATAACAATTTGAGTAAGTCATATTTAACAATACGAATTAATAATGAAAAAGTCGTGCTAATGATTTTAGTTTTTTTTTTTAATTTACACATTTTTAAATTTTATTCTTTTAGTAAAAAAACGTGAGATAACACGATTTATATATATTCTAATAAATATTCATATTCATATTTATTTTATTAATATTAATATTTAATTTATTATAAATAAATAAAATAATTAATAATAATAAACATAAGTATTTACTATTTTATTTATAATATTTTTATCTTTAAATTTTTTTATTATTATTTATACATTATTAATTTTATTATTTATTATTAAAATTATCATAATTATTTGTTATTAATGATAAATTTTATAATAATTACGTTAAAAACTAAAAAAAGATTAAATAATAATAATAATAATAATTATTATTATTAACTAAAAAATACCATTAAAAACTAAAAAAAATTATTAACTAAATTTTTTCATTAATACTTATTATTATTATATTTATTATTTATTACTTATTACAATTTAATAAAAATATTGATAATGATAATTATAATATAAAAATAATAATTTTAATTATTTAGTTAATAATATAAAAATAAATTTGTTAGTTTTTAATTAATAATTATTATTATTTAATAAATTTTTTATCATTAATAAAAAATAATTATGATAATTTTAATAATTTTAATAATAAATAATAATAAAACTGTATTAAAGATAAAAATATTATAAATCAAACAATTAATACTTATTATTATTATATTTATTACTTATTACAATAATAATAATAATAGTAATAGTAATAATAATAATAATAATAAATTTATAATGATAATACTCATAATAAATAATAAATATTAATCATTTTATTTATTAGTATTATTATTAGTTTTATTTATAATAAATTTAATAATAATAATAATAATAATAAAATATAAATATTATTATATAAAAGTAAAATCGAGCTATATAATATAACTTCACAGAAAAGAAAAGAAAAATAAAATGTAAGAAAAAAATGAAAATCGTATTTAGTAGCACCATTACTTGATTGTAAAATCTTAATTATAAGTGCATCTTACTATGTAATTTTTTTTAAATTATCTGAATCGGTAAAAAAAAATAATAATTAAATTGCTGGTGCTTTCTCCCAAGAAGAGTGAGCGCTGCTAGTCAATTTCAACCGTGACAAGCTAAAATTAGAGACAAGGGAAAAGGTAAAGATAAAGAGAGTAGGAAAAAAAAAACACATAATATTTTATAAAGACTGAAGCATAATGGTTTTCTTGGAATTATGAATTAATACGTTATTTTTCCTTTTTCACATAAATTCACAAAGGGTCGGTATTTCATCCACTATTTAAGTTAAATATATGTAGATAACTCTTCAACATCAAATTAATTTGTTTAATTGTCCTATTCAATTTTCTTTAGATGACCTTTTCAACTTAAAAAAGTGTCACAGAAAATAATATCCAAGACCAAAGAAGACGATAATTGGTCGTGCAAACCCTACTTCAGTGAAGTAGGGTTGGGGCAAGACTTAGTCAACCACACTAAGACACCTTTTTCCAATCATCATCATCAACATCTCTATTATAAATACCACTTGTTAGGGTGATAAATATATACCATTCCCATCCTCAAACTATACAAAATATAGAAATGGCCTTCCTCGGTGCCTCCAAATTCATGTCAGTTGCTACTCTTTTAGCCATACTTTTACTACTCATCAACTCTGCTCTGGGAGCTGCTGCACAGCCTAAAGGTATGTTTTACAATGATTCCTAACCTGCTTTCTATCCTTCTTTGTCTTCTTTCTTTTTGGTTTCATTTATTTATTATTTATTTTTCACCTTTGCTAAGGAGCAGGACGTAAACTTCTCCAAAACTCTGATCCAGATCTTCCTAGAGGATATGGAGTATACCCCGGTGGTGGAGGATACATACCATCATATCCTTCTGGTAGAGGCTATACCCGAAAACCATGAGATCAACCACCAAGGGCCAAATAACCAATATCCAGAAATATTATTGGATATGTTACCATCGTTTTTAATTTCATCTGAGTGGTGGAAATAATTACTCTTAAGCAATATACTATAAGTGTGTGTCATGTATTATTTCCAGGAACCAGGTGTAGCATCACTCAGAACCAATTAATGTAACATGCATGCATTACAGCAAATAAATCAAATTCTCACCAAAATTATTATTCATCTGCAAATACCAATATGTACGAATAACAAAGTGTATGAATCTATAGCATGGCAAAATAGTCTGTTTCATATGACAGAGGTGAAATTTTGAAATTTTTTATAAGGAAAATGCTATATATGACATGAAAGTTATATTTTGTCCAATTCAATTCATAATTCTTCATTTCCAAGAGTTTCCAATGCTATATTCGCTTTCTAAACATAATTGAAAATGATATTAATATGAATACATATGTCTTTCGAGTCCAAGTGTATCCTTGTTGTGAGACTCGCCACTGACTCGTATGTCTTCTGAGTTTATCAATGATACTATACTCACCAGTCTTACATTAGATATCATGTGGACTTCTCAGTTCAATTTTCTTACAAAAATGAAAAATTTGATGTGTATAAAAACCTTTTGACTGGCTTGTTGACTTGGTCAACCTCATTTTGATAAACAGCTTCGGAAAGTATCTCATGGTTAAGAACAATCTCATTTTCATCACAGTTTTGAAAGAACATTTTCAGACCATATTTTAGTATTGCTTCTTAAGGTTATATCATAAAACCAATGTGGAGTAACTTAAGATTAATTTAAACTATATTAAATAACATGAGTTAGGCGATGTCGGATTTTCAACACACTCCTCTTCAATGAAGTCTGCTCCTCTTCAATGAAGTCTGGCGGAGCAGGAAATAGTACTTTTGATCCACAACGAGAGGGCAACTCTTGGCCTAAGATAATAACCGAAAAAAATGTTAGGTATTGACTCTGATAACATGTTAAGGTTCCAATATAAAACAATTGGTTAGATACGAATAATTCTAACATATATTTAAATTTTAAATTATAAAGGACAAGAGACTTCCAACGGACCAACTTCATGAAATAAATAACCAACGAATTATATGAATAACATTTTATAGAAAAACCGATGGCTACAATCCCTTGAGAACCTGACCTTTATCTTTCTTAATGAATAATGATGATTTAGGTTAACTTTTTAGTTGAAAATAATGGAGTGGACGACAAGGAATTTTCCTATTAGATCTCTGTTTCCAAACAATGACTGACACAGATGAGTAAATAGCTGTGTGCCAAGTCTGCATCATTCATAAGCTCAAATGAAAGATATAAAAAATATAAAATCACAAAGTGAAAAAAATTAAATAAAACATGAAGCTTGTAAAACTTTATAATTTTTAATAAATTTTAATTATAATAATAAAAAGTATGTCTAAAAGAGTGTATAGACAATGAGTCATGTCCACGTATTACTACATAAACTTTGTAAGTCGGGATTCGGGACTCTTCCTTTAGCAATGTTCCATAAATGTGCAGTGATAAAATCAAAAGCTTTTGAAGTAAACGACCCAGTTTAGAATTCAAGTTTCCCTTCAAAAGGATCTTGTTTGGTTTTGATGTGATTGGAGACCAACTTTACCCGACCAATTCATCCATCATGATCTGGCTAGTGTATGGTTTGTAAGGTAACGTTTAATGCAGAGTTTTCCCCCATCACGTTTTGGTATATGTTACGGATTTTGTTGGCATATATCTGATAGAGGAAGATGGATTTGATTGGTCATAGAGCCAAAAGGATGCATTTTACGATCCAAAGGGTGCAATGAAATGAAGATAAGAGAGATAAAACTATGCTCTGTCATTGAAACTAGAAAAAGTTCAGAAACAATCCATGTGGGGGCTAACTTTGTTGTACTCAAGTGTTTAATTTGCACGCAAGATGCAAGCCATTTATCAGATCCCCACGTTTCATTCATATCCCAATTTTATGTCATGAAAATGGGGTTGGAAGTGCGTTGCTTAAGCACTAATATTAAACAAGGAGAATGCTTACTGTCACAACTCATTTTAAGAAATCACAATATACATGTGATCATGTTAGAATTCATCGAAAAATGTTTACAACTTTTTAGTAGATGAGAAGTTTGATCTTTAAGCTAATTAAGTAATACAACTTAGTTATTCTTCAAAATTATACGAGAAAGATGTTTTCTTTATAAGATCTTTTTGCAATCTCTCAAAGCCTCTGATTTTACATAATGATTTTCACCATAGTCACTGCTAGCTCCTCTTTGATATAAATATATTCTACACATGTAAATTTTCTTCCATTTCAATTTCATTCATCGTACCATTCATTATTCATTACATATATCAATTTCTCTCTCTTTCACACATCTCAAAAATATATGAAAGTTTATAATTTTCCTTTTTATCAAATAAAATGAAAGAAAAAGGAAGCATACCTAAATTTCAGAATAGTTATCAAACACAGAATATAGTATCAAATACAGAATAGGTAGCAAATTAAGATCCATGTATGAAGGTGAATTAAAAAACTATGTAATTCTCCTTGTTGTCTCAACCAAGTGCCACATACACTTATACACATGCCATGCATGCTCAGAAATTGACCCTTCACCACCTCGTCATGAAAAATCAACTAGTCGGCAAGTTTTATCGTTTTCAAGGCTACTTTTTGCTCTCTCCACCTCATGCACACTCATCTCATACCACCATTAATCTTCTCCATGACTATAAATATCATAACCATTCTCCAACAGATTCCCCCCTTTTCAACATCAGTCAATTAAGTTTGAAAACAATTCCAAAAGAAATATTGAACTAGGAGTTTCTTGGTAGTGATATTGCATGTGCTCTGAAATATCTTAGTTTGGCTTCATTTTCTATTTACCCACCACCCTCTTATCATACTCACTGTGTGATACTCCTACCCTTTCTTTACGTAACTGTCTTCTCTGTACTTGTTAACCAACTTCATCTCTTGGATTTTTAAGCCCCTTTTCCCAAAAATTAAAATTCAAAACAATAACTTGATTTTTCATCTTGATTCATAGAGCAAATGGGTGAAGAAGAAAAACAAGTGAGCCTTCAGTTTTGTCATTCAGCTTTCTCATTTATATGAGTTTTTCTTACAGATTTCTGGGCTAGAACTCACTATATTTTGTTGCACTTCTCGTGTCTTTGGTAGGAAGCAACCAAAACTGAGTCTAAACCAGAGGAAAATCCAGCAGAAGAGAATAGAGGGAAACAAGAAAAAAACTCAGCAGAGGAGAAGAAAGAATCTAAACCATCATCTCCGTGTGTGTTGTTTGTTGACTTACATTGTATAGGATGCGCCAAGAAAATTAAAAAATATATTATGAAAATGAGAGGTTTCATTCTGTCATCTATCTCATTGCTTCTGATTCCATATGCACATGCATATCCACTCTTTTTCATTCATTTGTATCTTTCCTCTAACAGGAGTTGAGGCAGTGGTGATTGACATGGCTAAAAATGAAGTGACCATAAGAGGAATAGTGGAGCCTCAAGCAATCTGCAACATAATTACTAAGAAAACAAAGAAAAGAGCACAAGTTATATCACCACTGCCAGCACCAGAAGGAGAACCTCTACCAAAAGTTGTTACTTCTCAGGTATCACAAGACTTTCCTTTCCCGGCTGCCAAAGAAAAGAAAAGCTAAAGTATACGTCTCCAAAGTTTAATGAATAAATGATTTTTGTTTTCTGTTACAGGCTAGTGAACCAGTTACTGTGGAACTTATCTTAAACATGCATTGTGAGGCCTGTGCTCAGCAGCTCAAGCGGAAGATACTCAAAATGAGAGGTAACACTCACATTTATCATCTAATTTGTTGGCAACATTGGTTGTAATTTAAAGGGACTGATTTGGCTTAACTTCAATTGGGGAATGTAATCCCTTTGAACAAAAGCATGCTTAAAACGAAGAGAGACTTGTAGAAGCTTTTTTATTAGAGATAAAATTTAGTACTTTCTCCACAATTTTGTGATTGTGACAACAAAAACTTCATTAACCATTTACAAGTATCATTCATTGGCATCCATTTGAGTGATATGGTTATAGAATATTGTAGATGAGGAAGCAAGGTTGATATTTTGACACCGCACAAAGACTATTATATAACCTTGTTAATTATTATTTTATTAATAAATCGAGTTGTCCAAGGAATGTTTATTAAGATGGGTTGTTTATCCATCTTTTTCCACAAAGAAAGGATACGACAAGAAAAGCTATATATTAAAATAAAAGTAAAAGAATGGAGTTATAGGCTCAAAATTTTTTTACTAACAATAATATATATATATATATATATATATATATAAGTATAATTAACGAGGGTAAAAATAAATTATGTCATAAAAATAGTAATCATATCTATGTAAATAAAATGAACAAATAATTAAGAAAAATATAATTTTAATAAAAAATTAGGAAATGAAATCATTAAAAGAAATATACACATCACTATTTTATAATTTAGACTAAAATACTAATGTTTTAAAATTAAGATAGATGCAAACATGAATTCGCGATTTAAATGTTTAATAAAAGGTCAAACAGATGTAATAAAATATTATTTTTATAATATGATATCTATATAATAAGTTTATTAATAATAATAATAATTTTAAAAAATAAATTAAATTAAAATTAATATTATAAATATATATTATAATATATTAGAAAATATAAATTAGATAATAATTAAATTAAAATTAAAAAAATAATCATTATATTATGATGTAGTTAAAATAAGATTAAAAATTTTGAAATAAAACATTATATTTTTCATAAAAAAATTATATTAAAAAATTAAAGAAATTGATTTTTAAGTATTTTTTTATCAAAATTAGTTTGACTTAAAAATTTAGTCAATTTTTTATTTTATCAATTTTTTTATTTTATACCAATTTAATTAAAATTAAATCATTTAAAAATAATTTATAAACTGATTTTCGATTGGAGTGGTTGAAATTATTAGTTCAATCTATTTTTCATGATAATGTAAAAGACATTGATAATTAAACAAGATAATTTTCGGGAAAAAAGAAGAAGTTGAAAAACAATTTATAGGTAGGTGATTTTGCATGGGATTTGCTAGTTACACAATCTCCTCAAACGATTTAACATATTGACATTTGAACTTCTTGATAACTACAAAGTTAGCTACATATTTTCTATACACTGTGTAATTTTAAAAAAATGGTTATATTTTTAGAAAATGAGAAGCTTAGTTAGACAAGATATTAAAAAGACAATATAATATACATTTGCATAAATTTAAACCAGCAAAATGCAGATGGTTAATAAACGTTTGACAAAAAAAATATTTAAATATTTTTAATTTTAGATAATTATTTACGTATAAAATTCGTGATTTACGATCTATTCTCGTATGCATCATAATGTCCCTAAATTAAAAAAAATGGATGCCAAATTTTGTCGTAACATTTAAAAAAAATTAAATAATAATTTACTTTTTATATATTTTATTATTATTATTATTATTTAAAATATTAAAATTAAATATTTATTTTAATTTAACAAATATTTTTCATTCATGATTTAGTAGATTATAAAATTTATTCAAGAGTATGTAAACACTCTTGTAAACTAGAATGCAGGAAGATTTTAACTTTTACAAATATAACAAAAAAAAAACATGATTTAAAAGCTATTAATAACATTGATTCACCAAACCTATTGAGCAAAATAATGTTGTTATTGTCATGTAAAATCTGTAATTACTGTGACAACATGTGTTTGTTATTAATGTAGGAGTTCAAACAGCAATGGCAGAGTTTAGTACAGGGAAGGTTATTGTGAGAGGGACCATGGATGCAAACAAGCTAGTGGATTATGTTTATAGACGCACCAAAAAACAGGTCAAAATAGTTCCCCAGCCAGAACCAGAACCAAAACCAGAACCAGAACCAGAACCTGAACATGAACCAGAACCAGAACCAGAAAAGAAAGAAGAAAAGAAAGAATTAGAGAACCCTGGAGCAGAAGAGACCAAACCTGTAGAGGATAAAGAAGAAAACGAGGAGAAGAAAGAAGAGGAGAAACCGTCAGAGGAACCTAAGAAAGAAGAAGAGAAACCAGCGGAGGAGGCAAAGAAAGAAGAAGGTGGCAATGATGACAGTAAAAAAGAGAAAGGCATTGAAGAAGAAGCAGCGAAGAAAGAAGTGGTTGGTGATGAGAATGGAGTGGTGGTTAACGTTAACGTTGATGATGAAAGCATGAAGAGGATGATGTACTATTACTCTTACCCACCACTCTATGTCATTGAACCAACCCCACCCCCTCAGCTATTCAGTGATGAAAATCCCAATGCATGCTGCATTTCCTGAATTCATCACAAGATCAACGAAAAAGAGAACGAGGAAAAGGTTCTATTTTGTAAGAAACAATAATATAAAGTATTTAGAACTATGACATGCTTCCATTCAAATGTAACAAATGAATTAATCACATGTTATAATATCTTATATTATTCATTACATAGCAATGATATGTATATTCATTAAATATATTCTGTTCAATTACTAATATAATAGGTTGTAGGGTATTTTTTAAAATTCAAAAATTAAATATATCTTACGTGTTGGAGGCCCTGTTAAATAATGCGAAAACTAAATAAAAAGTGACGGACCCGTTCAAATTTATTTTCACGAATAAATGGTCACGAAATTCACAGTTATTATATTTATAATTGATTTAGTATGATGACAATAATCAATATCTCTGTCATATTTTTGTCTATTTTATTTTTCAAGGATAATGAGTCTGTTTATTTTAAAAATTAATAAAATAATTAATTCTTATAATTTTTAATATGTTTGAATAAACTTTTTAAAAGGCGGAAGTCATTTTTTTTTTTAAGTTTCTTCTCATAAAAAAAATTAGATATGGTAAATGGAGAGAAAACTTAAAACAAACACAAAAATTATATATAATAACTTAAAATAAATCACTTTTTAATTACCATATAATTTTATAGTACAAACAAACATACCAATATATAATTTTAATCTTTAAATACTTAATTTAATAGACTATAAATGTTTTTAAACCTTAAAATTTAAAATATAAATCCTGAATCTTATACTACAAACCTTAAATCTTTAATTCTAAATCTTAAAAAAAGTATTTTTATCTCTAAAATTTGATATTTAAAGAATAAAAATAATAACATTTTTAATTTTGAAAATAAGTAAAAAAAAAACGCAAAATATTATCTTAGTCAATTGCGAACCTTGGCATGAAATAAAGGGCACTACTAACATTATAAAGAGAATAGTAAATAATAAAAATTGTTGTGTGGCTCTTATTTTTGTTGTGTCCACGATGAAGTGTGCAGGGATATAATGATTCTGAAAAGAAATATGAACTGTAAAAGGAGGAATCATTATTGGTGTAAAAGGAGGAAACTGGATAATCATACCAAAACTCTCTATGCATCATTAAATTTTCATTATTTATGTAATTATAACTATGATATATGTAATTATTAATATTATATTGGATTTTGATCTTCACTCCAAACTCTATCATATTGTCTTCTATAATTAAATTTTTCACCCAATCTCATGAGATATCTAGGTTTAAGTTAAATTATTTGTCAGAATATATGAAAATAAAAATTGTTATTTGAAAGTGATGTAAGATTCAAATTTATCCTTAATTCTCTATTTGCTTCAAGTGATATAAAGAGATTTAGAAAATGGCATAATCATATATACATTAAAAAATAATAATAAATAATTTTTTTTTCATGTTTTATTAATCTAAATAATTTAGTTTTTTTACTTTTTTTCATTTTTTTTACTTTCTTATTTTCTATCATCTCATCAATATCTACATTATTACCAAAATTAACCAAGGCACAAGTTCTTATCTAAAATTTAATGAAAACTAACTTAAAAATGTATTAATCAAACTCAATAGTTCGAAATTAGTAATAATAAAAAAAGTACACTTACCGGAAGTTGTTTCGTTGACCATGAAAGAAACAAAGACCTTATCATTTTTTAGAATACATAATAGAAATGGCATCACTAAACATAAATTAAATTGATATGAAGCAGTTCCTCGTATGATGTAAAATATAGTTAAATTTTAAACATAAGATTAAGAAGTAGACTCTAATTCTAGAGATAAAGAAAACATTTGTAGAAAAAAGAAAACATTATTTTATATATTATTAGTTGATTTTATGCTGTAATTTTGATTTATTATGAGAATTAAAACATTTTTTTTAGTTGTTGTTTGAGTTAAAAAATTGTTATTTCATTCTAAGTCAAAAGTATTTTTTACCTAATTTAATAATGAAGAGATATATTGAAAGTTTCACTATGTAAAATCTTTTATAATATGATTTAAATATCTGTTAAACTACTCTATATATTACTAATACATTAAACTTAAAATTGTAAATATTTTTATGTTTTTCTTTTATTTTTTTTATAATTAAAACAATGATAATATTAAAAAAATATCATCGTCTAATGAGATTTACTTCCTCCAAACTTTGACCTATTTAATCACGATGAAAATTTATATTTTTTTTATTTATGTAAAATTATTATTTATTCGTTTAATAATAATGTGATTTAATTATAATAATTGACTTAAAATTTTAAATTATAAAAATTAAAATATGAAAATATAAATCTTATAAAATCTTAACATTAAAATCTTACAAAATTATATATATATATATATATATATATATATATATATATTATTGTAAAGGCTAACAAAGATACGAAAAAACTTTATTTCTTAGGCATGTATAATCATTATCCTTAAGGATTTATCTGCAGAGTATTGCACAAGTCCCACAGGATATAACTGAAACTTTCTGGATTTTTCGACAAACTTAGAAACTAGCAAGAAACTCTTAAAAGAGTAAATAAATTCACGAATAGAACAGGACAAAAAAATAGAGAAGAGAAGATGAGTAAGGTGTGTATTGGAGGAGTGTGGAGTAGTCTATTTATAGATGTAGATTGAGCACAAAAACCTAACAGATCAAGCCCACTATTCACTAACAGCCACGTGTCCCCTACGGAAATGTCATGATGCACTTATTGGAGTCCATGTTTGTTGAGAATGGGTCGCACACCCTCCATGGTTTTCACTATTGTTCAAGTGCTGAGACGCTAAAACGGTTTGTGCAGAAACGTGGGATGCGTAGATTATGGTTTTTATTTTGCAATACTCACATATTCTTCTCCGACAATCCTCCACATATTGCAAAATAAAATAATAACAAAAAGAGATAAAAGATGAAAAAAATTTTGGGTCTTATATAGGATGTAATGCATCAAAGTTGGTATAGTAAGTTATATGAATCAGTCATAGATTGAAAACTTAACATACAGTGTAGTTGGTACAACAAGTTATATGAACTAAGACACATAGTGTGTCTTAGTAGTTTAACAATCGCAATACCCCACAATTTTTATTGTTATCGTTGTGTTGCGTTTATTAGGTCATGCGTGTGTCCGGTATTCATGAGTGCTCTAGAAATATTACAAAGATTTCATACAAGAAGCCCCACTAACACTCATATAGGTGATTTTATCAAACATATGCGGCAAATCATATACCACTCGTAAGAGATATGAAATCATTAAAAATTTGTTAAGACTAAAATTCATACACCACATAAAATTTTAATTACAAAGTTTAATCTCTCATTAATGCAGTATCTAGCACTTTCACACATCATAGGAATGAACATAATTTATTTTAATCAATTTTAATGCTAGCATAACTAACAAGTGACTTATTTTTACTCATATGAACCTTATTCTTAGGATCTCCAATAACAAAGGTTGGGTTACCATCATATTTCTTCCTAAGGGTTTCGTTAGAGAATATGCTAAATTCCTTTCTAACTTCACATAGTTAATGGAAATTATTTCCCTCTTTAGCAGTTGTTTCACTAAATTATGTTTCAATTGTATATGTTTGTTCTTTCCATTATAGTTCTTGTTTTTAATTATAGCTATTATCGATTGACAATCACAGTATATTAACAAAGACGGGTTAGTTTCATTCCTAATGGAATGTTTGCTAAGAATTTTTTCAACCCTTCAATTTCACTATCAGTCATTTCGAGAGTAACAAACTCAGATTCCATTGTTGATCTTGCAATAATTGTTTGTCTAGTTGATTTCCATGTAATCGTACTACCCTGAGTGTGAATACATAACCACTAGTGGATTTTGTCTCATTTGAATCAGAGATCCAGTTAATCATTGTACCATTTTAGTACAACGGGAAATCCACTATACTCAATGACATAATTCATTGAACCTCTTAAGTATCTCATAAGTATTGCAAGTGCATCTCAATATTCCTGATTAGGACAGTGAGTCACTTAGTCTACCTACTGCAATGTTAAGTCTAGAAAAGTTCATTAAATGCAGTAAGCTCTCAATTATCTGGGCATACTGAGGTTAAGAAATAAAATATCCTATATTTTCCTTTAACTTAGAGTTAGCATCATAAGGGGTACTTACTAGTTTAAAGTCATAATACTCAAACTTCCTAAAAGGTCTCTCAATGTATTATTCTTAGAATAGTAAGATATTATCTCCCTTCCTTATGATTTTAACTCCCAAAATCATATTGGTTTCACCCACATCTTTCATTTCAAAATTAGATTCCAAAAAAACTTGGTTCTACAGACTATGTCAATGCATGTACCAAATATTAGCATGTCATCTACATATAAACATATAATGACACATTCACCACTTTCAAATTTAGAGTGCACACATTTATCAACATCATTAGTTGAAAAATCATCACAGAGTATAATACTATCAAGTTTTTCATATCACTGTTTGATGTCTGTTTTAATCCATACAAAGATTTTAAAAGTTTGCACACTTTGCTCTCTTGGCCAGGAACTATACATCCTTGAGGTTGAGTCATATAGATTCCATCCTCTAATTCACCATTCAAAAAGATTGTTTTGACATCTATTTGGTGTATAACCAATTTATGGATAGTTGCTAAAGCTAACAAAACTCGAATAGAAGAAATCCTAGATACAAGGGCAAAGGTATCAAAATAATCAATATTAGGTTTTTGAGTAAAATTCTTTGCTACTAATTTTGTCTTATATTTATCTATAGATCCATCAGGATGATACTTTTTCTTAAAGATCCACTTATAACTAACAGGTTTTGTTCCTTTAAGCAAATCTAGTAAAATCTAATTATTAGTTTCCTTAATTGAGTCAATTTCAGTGTTAATAGTCTTATCCCAATGTGTTGCATCAGGAGCCCTAATAGTCTCTAGAAAACTCGTTGGATCATTTTCAACTAGATAA